CTATGACAAAATGTATCCGATTATGAACTGTGTGTTGTACTGTGACTGAAAACAAGCCTGGGACATGATCAAAGACAAACCTACTACAGGAAGAGTGGGCTGAGAATCTTCTGAGAAAACATGGTCTTGTTGGACAGTTAAATTCTGTTTAAATTACACCTTTTTCTAAGACATACATGATCTTGAAAAAACTTTCCTAGGCCCAAGTTGTGTCCCTACTCCGGGTAGAATTCCTCTCTGAGCAGACCGTGGTGATGGTAAGAGAAACCAGCTGTTTCTTGCCACTGCAGCAGGTTTTCTGGAGGTTAGACAGTGAAAGGACACATAGAAGGGGCAAGTTCAAGTCTCTGTCCTTCTTGATTCAGACTTGCATTTGAGTACAGGTCTCATCTCTAACACAAGAGCCCTAAGCAGCAGGAGGTGGGATTTTAGGAACTAGTTTGTTTCTCTCATTTGATCTAATCCAGATTGTATATGTATTTATCAATATAAGTGAAATCCTTGACCATGAAGTTGGTCTGCTCACTGCTTTCAGTGATGGCTGTTTTTACAAAGGAGAATAGTTCCAGCATGCAAAACTGAGAATTTGAGCATAGCTTGGACATTAGAGTGAATATTGAGATAGAGTCTAATGCTTTCTCATAGATGGTAGAAAGTAATTTTCTGCCTGATTCTAATTTTTCTACTCTGATCTGGAGAAGGACTGAAACAAGCAGTTGTGAAGGCTGCAGTTTTCACATTGATTATTTCAGCTGTTGGCCCAGCTCTGAGAATGATCCTGTCAGGGACCTGTGGTATCACAGGAGGACCAAGGCTTGCATGGGTACCACAAGGTTCCTCGTGCTGTCCCTGTTAAACATCTTCAGCCCTGACATGGAGGGGAACAGCCTTCAGTTTGTGAATGGCAGTTCAAGTGATGTGCTGCTCAAATTCTCAGTCTCCCTTGCCCTGTTAACTTCAATGAATTTTAAATACCATGCTGATTTGGAGAGTTTCTAAGATTGACAATTAGTCTCTGAATCACCCTCTAGAGGCCTAGATTATTGCTTAAATCACCTCTGTTAGACAGTGTGAATGCTCCTCTGTCCGTTAGGACACATCTGTTCCCTTGTTTCATCCATACTTGTGGTATCTGTGCTTACAGACAGAGGAATGGGGTGAGAGCCAGGACTCTTCTGAATGCAGAACTTCAGGCATCATCATTCGCAAGCACCGTGTACTTGCTGTTGACTTGAACTATAGCTCCACATTTGAAACACATCCAGAAAAACTGATACTTCATCATTTCTAATTGAAAACCAACTTTGGTTGAAGGCAGAATATTTCACAGAACTGTATCTGCTTGGTTGCAAATGTCATCAGTAGCATTGCTTAAGGCCAGGGTGGGATTGCTGCTGCTGCTGAGAAAACAGTGCTGCCACAGGGTTTTATATGGTGAGATACATAACAGTCCTTGTAAAGGGGAAACTCTGGCCCAAGGGTAAGCCTTCTTGAACTTGGGCATCCTCATTGCTGGCTTATGGCTCTCACAGTTGAGCTGCTGGATGCTCTGAGGTTTTTCCTCCAAGTGTTTATGTTTTGGTCATTTATCTGTAGCAAGTTCTCTGTGAAGTCCAGACTGTACCCTGAGATGTCAAGTCTGGGTCTGCCCTTTCCGTAAACAGGTTGAAAAAATCAGATGTACGAGGGCTGGCCCTACTGTTGGCCCCAAAATGGGCTTCACAGTGAGGCAAGCTCAGCCTAAAGGGTAGAGGATGCCCTTCTGTAGTTGTGCACATGGGATGTGGTACTGGGAAAAGCAAAATGTGGGTTTAAGCGTGTAGTGCTAGGGTGTGAATAATAGGCCCTGAAACTAAGTTGACCTCTAGATGAACCTCACAACCAAATGTTATCCATTATTAGTATCTGCTAATTAGTAAAACCTGTATTACCATTAGCATTTATTAATTAGTATCTGATCATTAAAGATGCATGTGTGCTCACTAGTGAAGGGTATAGCTTGGGCAAAATGTAATCAGTAGTGAGGATGAAATGGCATGAGAATGTATCCAACTTTCCTTGTTTAGCCTTGTTGAAGACTGAGAACCCAAGTGTTTGGCCTTGTTAGAACCTCCCTTGGTTCTCCTCCCCAAGCCCTGGCCAGGCTTTGGGTGGAATCCAACAGGAGAATGAAACCAGATGTTTCTGCTCAAAGAAAAGTGCAAGTCATTCTGACTTGCTGATTTTTGGTACGTAAGGCTGGACCCTCTTGCCGCGACTTTGGATGCCTCACCTATGGATGGATGCATCACATAGGACTTCCCACTTGCAGGGAAAGGTTCTCCAAATCCTCGCTGCAACCAGGGCTTCCCAGTGAATGCAGATCTGGACATTGGTAACGTATGCAAGTGGTGATGTATCTTTCTTAATCACTGTTCTCCCCATCGTGTAGTGATGATTAGGTGCATTGCCTTGCTTATTGTTATTTTCTGTAGTTAACTGTATGTATTAAGTGCACTATTTTGTTTTTTTCTTATTGCTTATTTTCTGTATTACTTGGTTATATCCTGTAATTAACAGTAAAACAGGCCTATTCTTTTTACTCTGGTGTCTGAGTTTAATTGGCACTCTCAATCAGCAGAACAAAGCAAGAATTTCTCTCAGGCCTTCCATTTCTTAGGTGAGTGCCTTTGCTTAGTGCTACCGCCTCCATGTCCCCTGTAGTGCCTGTTGTGCCTTCTTCCCTTGAATTCAGTGTTGGCAAGAGGTGTCAGGCACCTCTACTAGACTGCATCCCTAAGAAGAATCAGGCTTTGGAGGAAGAAATGCCAGTCCTGTAGCTTTCAGGTGACCCAAGTTGACAGAGGAGATGCCTGGAGGCCCGTCAGTGTCGCTGTGGTGTCATCCCTGGGAAGATGCTGTAGATGTTGTATTTGTAAGCCTCGGCCTTGGGGTGAAAAGTAAGGTGTTTCCAGACACTGAAGTGCTTGTGTAGATGGATAGGACTTTGCTTGATCTTTTGGTTTGTGTCTGTGCTGTGGCTCCCCTTCTGTGGAGCAGCTGTGTTAGCATTTCCCTGCTTCACAGAGTTGCTGGGGGGATAAATGCACTGAAGTCTGCAAGGTGTTTGGGTACTGTGATTATGTGGATCATAGAAGAAACAGAGATGAAGTTGCTGGACTGTCTCTGAGGTCTTTCAAATTGCATGTGTGTTACAATAGTAAGCCCAAACAGGTAAGATGCAGTAGTTGCTCACTGACTGGTGACCGGTACGCAGCTCGTGCCCAGCAGCGATCCTGACCACGCTAGAAATCCAGGGACCAACTGGGAAACCGAAACCAGAATGAGAGAGCAGTGTCCCCTTGTATACTGAGCATGACATCACATGATGTGGAATACTCCAATGACAGATCCAGGCCCTGCCCTCAAGCTGTGCTCCCTCTCAGCCCAAGGAAAGTTAACTCTATCCTGGCCAAAGCCAGGAGGGCATGCTTGTGTCGTAGGCCATAAGGGCAGCTTAAATCTTTAAAGGTGACCTGCAAATACCTCAGCAGTAGCTAGGAATGGGCCCATTCTTCTACGCTTCGATCGGTCAAATTTTACTGTCAAAGTTAATAAAAGTACAGTCAAGTCAAAAGTGCCTTTCAGTCCTTCATATTCTTTATATAAAAGGACTGGAGAACTTTCTCATTCTTGCTATCTGTAAATCAGCACATAAAAATAAAGTGTGCAAAGGTGACCCTCAATGCAGGGCAAGTCCTCCTGCCTTGGGTGGGAATTTCACCCTTCTGCTACAGTGCTGAATGTGGTCTGATTGCATTTCTGATAATGTATTTGTGGATCACCTTGAGAAGAGGAGGAGTTATACAACTGTTCCCTCACAGTACTGTTAGGAAGGGTCGGGCTTTGTCTCCTTTGAAACCGATATCAGGAGAGAGCTGCAATCCTGTGAAAACACATATTTATTTCTGAAGTGTTTGTGTATTGTGTGTGTGGTGCACATGAATAGAATTGCCACCTGTCCAAGGCTGATAACGATGATCTGGAGAGCAGTGGTCATGCACTCCTTATTCTAGCAGTTTGCTGTATGAAGAATTGGTACCCACAGCTTCCCTTGGTCTGAATTTATGAAATGCTGCATGCAATGAGTTGCTTTACCCTTTGTGGCACGTTCTGAGCTTGCATAGATATGGATCTGTTGGAGGTTTTGCCATAATGGAAACAGTGTTAGCTGTGGCTCATTAAAACCCTTGACTTTTTTTTGGTCTTGCACTCTCAGAAAGATCCCATTAGTTATCCTATTCCCTTAGGATTCCACATATGGCACTATTCTCCTTTATAACCTTGGCCTCAGCTTGTGAGTGGGCGAAGTGACAAGATCCTGATAACCACGTGCTTTGGGCACTGAGTAGAGGAAGTGACTGAGAAACCTTCTTGATGTTTCCGTTGCACGCAGCAGGGGACTTGCCCTTGCAGTAGGGCTGCTGTCATCGTTTCACCCCAATGTAACTTATCTTTCAGTAGTTGCTGAGCCTTGCTAGACATGAGGCTTGTTACAGACGGACTCTTGTGCTTTGCTGTGCTGTAACACTGCTGATAGGGATGAGGATATGTAGGTATGCAAGTAGGTGGAAACTTTCTAATACATCATAATAGTAATAATAATAATGTGCACTTCTACTGCCTTGCAGCTTTCGCTAGAACTTCTGCCCACGCATCAGCCTACTTGGTTCACAATGCAGTGTGCATGCTAGACAATTAGTGGTTGATAATGAAAAATGTCATGGGAACCAGCAGGAAAATCATAGCTTACTCCAAATATATAATGAAATGTAATTAGCACAGACAGTAAAACAGACAATTTATGGGTTTTTTCGTAATTAAAAAGTACCAGTAAACATTCCTTTTGCAGGAAGCTGGGTATCAAATGGAATTAAAGAGCTATTGTCTGGAATAGGATTTTATGCAAAATTTAACTCTTGCAAAGCCTAATGGATTAAGGTTTTGTTAATTGCAGACTCTCCAAGGAAATCTATTGTGGTACTTCTTCCATTCTTTCTCCTGGTCCTGGTCTGTCTGGAGGGGCCAAGTCTGCTAGCAGAAACCCGATACAAGCCAAATACCCAGCTGGATTCAATGCATGTAGCAGTGTGGCCAGTACTTCCCTCCTGTTCTTCCAGACAGACTGTCCCCTGAAGTCATCTTGTAGTGTGGAGGTAGGTTTGAGAGAGAGGTTGGAGCAGGAACAGCATTATAATGTCTTGTGCTCCCGGTGTCCTTGGTCAAATGTCTTCTGTTGATCTCACTTCCATCTCTGATCTCTTTCCCAGCTTGGGGCCCTTCGCTCTGCACCTCTTTTTTGTTCTTAAGCAGTGTACACAAAGGAGTGTGTTCAGTTCTTTATGCACGCCCTCAACTTGCCAGGAGTGCAAACACTGTTTCTTGGCTTGTGCTCTCACCTGGGGCAACAGAATGTGTGGATCCACTGAGGCACTGCACAAAAGCTTCTATGGCATTAATTACTTGGCTTAAAAATGGGTGAGTTCTGGCTGAATATCTCAAAGTTCATGTCCCAAAGCACATGGGGTCTAGCTCCTTCCCCAGACATGGGTGCCCAGGGTTTGAACCAACCCTTGAATGCCTCACTACGTCTCTTCTTTTTGCCCTCAGGTACAGTCCATTATCTATTGCTGTAAGGCTGGATGTCTTACTTGTGTGAGAAACTCTGACACATTTCAGCAATGCTATAAAACAAGTGACGTGTGCATTTCTGCTGCTCTTCCTCCTCTATACCCTTCCAGGCCCAGACATCCCACTACAGGCCAGAACAGAGCTCTGCTCCAAATCAATTTTACAATAATTTTCCAGGCATAGTCTTAGCCTAGAATTTCAAGTCTGCAGAGAGAAAGCCCTTCAGCTGAGGGTTGAGAGGAGAGCTGGGCCATGTGGTCAGGACACTATGCAGGTGCAGCATGTTTTCTGGTTGGTGATGGAGAAGCAGAGCGCCAGCATGCCTGCCATTGCAGGGGGGTATGAGCTTCCAGCTGGAGCCAGGTGCACAGACTGTAATGTTTCTACCCACGTATGTGAGATAGTGCTCAGGTGCAAAATCACAGCCCTAGTATCTGGCACAGATAACATGGAGGAAAGAAGAAGGAACTTCTGTTTAAAGCCATGGGACAGGATGCACAAGCTCCTTTGCCTTGTGATGCAGAAGTCCCAGCCACCTCTTCACAGTTGGGCAGACCCTCCCAAAAGGAGAGGGACTCTGTGGTTTACTGTAGGAGCCATACATGTAGGAGGTGTCAGTTTGCCGGAGCTGTGGTGGTCCTTCTTGGGCACCTTTCCTCTTTGCCTGGCATCTACAGCGAAGGGTGGGGTGGTGCAGGGGTATCAGCCCTGGTTGGTAGCAGGCTGATAGTCTTTGCTGTTCAGGATGTATGGGGAGGGGTCTGTGCAGTCCCTTCTTACCTGTGCTCCCAAAACCTCTGCCTCTGTGTGGACACAGCTGTTAGTGTTCAGCTTGGAAAGCATCTTCCTAGTTGGGCTTTTGTGAACTCTAACAGGAGGTGCCTTTTACATCTCTGTCCTAAGGAGTAGGAGAAGCCTGAAGGATTGTTCCAAGTCCTATGCCACAGCACTACTACGTTCTTATTTCTCTGTAGCTGACCAGGAAACAAGAATATATGGGCAATAAGGGTGTTGTGACAGTCTGAGATCCTTTAGAGCAAATGGAGAGCAGCTGATAATTTGTCTCCAGACTTTTTTTCAGGATGCCTGGTCTAGTCAAGGGTCTGCTTTTTCCTCTGGAAGGTACCATGCAGGTTTGTTGGAGAAAGGGGGCCTTTGAGGGTTTCTGCAGCTGGAGGTCATGTAGCATATTGGAGCATGTATTGGACAATTTATGTTTAAAAATATTGGTGGCTTGCTTGTGTCCTGTCTGAGGAGGGGAAGCCCTGGCATCTCCTTGGGTGCAGAGCTGAGATTTTATAAAAGGGCTTGATAAATAGTAACAGTGGTGTCTTTGTCAACCCTCTACATCACACTCTCTGCAGTGAAATCACTCACGTAGAGCCTTCAAAGCCATGGTTGTCAGTTTGCTACATACATGCTCCAACTTCACACACACACACGTGCTTGCATGTGAGCTTGTGCACATGCATACACACACACTCACACTTGTGTGCTGAGATGTGGTGAGCATAATCTGTCTTCCTGCTTATGCAATGCTCAAGAAAAGGAGGGGTTGGTGATGGGACCTAGCCAGGACATCATGTGTATTGTGGGGTTATGTCTACTTTGATTTATACTCTGGTCCTTTGATTTATACTTGACTCCAGCAGCCACTTAGTGGTGACTTCAGCAGCTGAAAATAGTCAGAGTAGATGTATCACTCAGCCACTCTCATGTCCCCAGCCCTGTTCCCTGGGTTGAGATGTGAGGGGAAGATAGAGCTGGTATGTTCCTGCCAAATTATCCAGGGAAGCTATGACACCAAATTTCTGTGCTGGCAGGGAGATCCACTGTCTTCATGACCCTGCTTAGTGCTGGTGTGGCACAAGGGGGACACAGAATTGTCACCAGAGAAGTGACTGTGCCCATGCAGAAGATAGCCATGGAAATGTAGCCTTGATCTTATTTTCATTTAAGATACTCTAATTCAGTGCATATTTCTTTTCCTTCCATAGGCTGGAGTGAGCAAGGTCAGATCCACCTCTGGAGTTTGTGTGACCCATATTCCTCTGGGTTCAGTCCCAAGCACTTGCCTGTTTTTCATGTGGGATGCTGCTATGCATTGGTGATTTTTGTTTCTAATTGGCTTGTATTATTATTATTTTTTTTTTAATCCCCTAGATCATAGTCCTGCTGTGCACTATCAAGGCTGTAACTGGAGACAGTGCAGCTCTTCTAGCCTAAGTCTTTCGCTGAGTCAAGTCTTGTAAACTCCCAGTGGGATGTTTCACAGGCAGGGCTGGCTCTGTTTACATCCTTTCCCCTAGCTCATCTTGTCTGTGAGCTGCAGCTTTGCAATCACAGGCATCCCTGGTGGGCCACTGATGCTGCTGATGTTTCATTTTTATGGGGTCTTTGACTTGAATTGAATGACTGAACTTCACCCCTTTCTGGTGAAGTAATTACCAGAATAACAAGACTTTTTTTTTTTTTTTTTTTTTCAGATGACACTTACAGTTTTTGACGTGTGTGCCCTTGCCATCTGCATCAGATGATGTATATAGTGTTTGTCCCTTGTTTTGGCATTTTAATATGTGTGAGAGAGGTGAAATGGCTTTAAAAGCTTTTTGCTGGCGCCTGCGGTTTGTTGCAGACCCAGTGATACAGGCAGAACATGATAAATTGAAATAAGACTGTTCCTCTACAGTTTGACATAGGGATGTTGATGTATAGGATTAGGTTGTCAGCTGGTGCAGAACCACTGTGCTCATTACTCATGGCCAGACCTGACACCAAGCGAGCTAAACTGAATTACCTGAGCTGGAGGCTGGTTTTCTGCAGCAAGAATGGTAATTTTGTAGTATGATAATATACTTCTTACTTAAGGGTAAAGTAACAGTTGAATGAGGATCATAGGCCATTCATTAACCTAGTTCTTAGTAAATGTAATGAAGATAGTGAATACCATTGTGGTGTAATCTGATGGTTTTAGAGAAAATACACAAGTTGCAGTGGAGGTGTTGGGGCCTTTCACTCCCTGAGCTAATCTTCCCCACAGCCTTTCCTGAGAATTTACTGCTAGCTGTGCAGAAATGATTTATGACCAATAAATAAGTGGCAGGATCCTTGTTGCAGTATAGATTGAGAGCATCACTCTTGAAGCTGGCGGAATTCTGCATTGATACAAAAGTTTAAAATCAGTTAGAGTTTTTCTGCGTTGGAGTTCATCGTGTAACAGAAAATAAGACCTTAATCGGAAGCAAGTTTGGTGTGTAATGTACCCTGTTGTCGATGTCTGCAGTAGACTGGCCCAATGCAAATGTTGTATCTATTTAATGCAAGTCCAAGTTCTGCTGAATTTAATTGCTTTTTTTTTTTTTTTCTGGGAAGAGTCTGGTGAAGCAGAGCCATGGGTACAGATATGGTTAAACCACATCTACCTCTAGGTGTCTTTTCCCACTTGTGCTCATGTTTTCTTTCTGACTTTCTGTTCCTAGTTACTTTTGAGGCCACTGGGTTTTTGTCTGTGTTTGGAGTCTTCATTATCTTCCCCGCAGTCCTCTTCCACTTCATCAACAAGAAGCTCTGCTTTGAAAAGAGAGGTGGACTCCCATGTCTGGAACAACAAGGGAGAAGAAAACACTACAAAGAAAAGCCCAGAGTTCATGAGGGCCTTGGTAAGTATCACAGTATTATACTGCCTTTGATGTACAGAATCTTCTTGAGGCTTTGATTGCTGGGAGGACAGAGAAAGGCCCATTTGCTGTGTCTCGGGTTATTTCTGTGGAAAACAGCAGGGTTTTGGATAGACTACAGTAACCTCCAAAACTTGATCAAATGGATGTGCAATTGCTACCATGGTCCTATTATCTTTGTTGTCTGAAGTAATCTCTTGAAAAATGGAGGGCAACACTGAGGAGAAAGCACACTCCCCCTCTCTGTCTGTTGTGGGAGTGTTTTGTTAATCCAGTGAAGAGCAAAATGTGAGCAATTCTGAGTAAAGACACTGCTTTTCTGCTCTGAAGGATGTGCCTGTCCTGGTTTTCTTGTAGTAGCTATTACACGCTCTTTCATGTGTTTGTTCTTGTCTGGAAACATTATGTCTTGGGTAAACCCATGAGTCCTGGAGTCAAAATAACTGGGAATTTTACTGTTAGACAAAAAAGAACATTTTAATGTTTCTCTGTTATCAAAAATCCATCCATTCCGGTAATGGTGGTAACTGAGAATTTGGTGATGTCACCATACATTTTTTTGTAAATGTGCATATAAGTGTATAATCATTGAAATAATCAGCCAAGGGGCCTCAGAAGCCTCCCAATTAAAAAGTCTGCTTCTTGGTGGATCAGTCTTAGAGCTAATTACAGAAGGACACAATCACAAAGCAAGGGGCCCCTGCAGGTGGGGTTTTTGTTATACGTTTTGCCTTGTCCACTGAGTTCAGCATGGCTGTTGCAAAGGGCATGATCTGGTCACACTTTAAGAGTTCAGAATTTATGGACAGGCGAAGGCCCGGATGCCACATGTGATAGGAAGTCAGTGGGACTGACTGCTTCTTGCTAAATGCATTGGTGAGCCAGGGACAGGCACAAAATGTTAAAATCTCAAAAGGTACTTGGAATTATTTCTGCACCCCACCCTGCCATTGAAAAGTCCTAACTTTAATGTTTCTAAATAAAGACTATGTTTTTTTTTTAAATAAGTTTCCTTCATCGATATTATTTTTAAGTCTTTATTCCCTTCTCTTCACCTCCCATCAAGTGGTGTAAAAATGTGGCTTTTATTTCGGTTTTTAAGATGACACATTTCCCAGGAGTGTGTGGGCGTTGACATTCTATGGAGCTGTCACAGGCTATCATGTAAACATGTATTTGCAATGCTTTTAAAAATGTGAATTATTAATAAACAGGGTGGCTTGCTTTTTTTTGTGTTTTGGTCCTTCGAAATTTTGAAGGACAAAAAATTACTTCCCAGCTGACACACTCAATGGCAATTTTCATTTCAGACTAAATCTTATGTGTCTGAGTAATAAACCTTTGAAAACATGGGTTTATAATGGAAACACTAATTTAACTTTAACTACAGCTGTGCCGTACAAGCAAAATACCACACACATTAATGAGGTGCTAAATCTGATACGGCAGAGGAATGTGTTGTAATCATTAATTACAATGGAAGCTTAAAGTTGGAGCCTGCTTTTTCCGTTCAAACAAAATCAGCTTGGCGAGTTGGAGCTAAGAGCTATTTAAAAATATCGTCTCTATATTTAGTTTAAATTTCACCGTAGCGTTTTGCTACTTGTAGGGCCAATATGGAATATGCGTGTAGGAAATGCTAATGCTTTTAAAGGACAGCAGTGTGAGAGAATAGATTAAACTCTGGGCTAACATAGCATGTCATATGGCGAATGTAGAAACCTGGAGCCTGAGTTTGGGCTGGGAAGCCAGGAAAGGCTGTTTCTAGCATAGCAGTTGCCTGGTGAGGGAGCTCTCCCAAGAGGAGTGTTGACAAGCAAGAGTTTGTTTCAAATTCGAAATCTGACTTTGCTGGGTGGAAAGGAACGGGATGGGAGTGTTTGTAACGTGTAACTTATTGGTTAGCATTCACTTTTCCTCTTCTCAACTTCTTGTGGTGAGCTGTGTTTGTTACAAGACCATCCTGATTCTAAAGACTCTGCTGCCCTTTGACATGTAACTTATTAATGATAGTTCTTTCTGCTTCTAAGCTCTCAAATTGGGGAATTTTTTTTTTTTCTTCTCCACATCTGTAATTACAAGCAGTTAGAACATATCTGTGTGCTATGACTATCAGCTTTATAATTGTTTAAATAGGAGAGAAGGTATTTTGCATTTTGATCCCTCTGGCATGACAGTAACATACGTAATAGGATAAATGCCAGTTTCCAACAGCATAGGTAAATAAAGGCTGTAGCCTGAGAAAGGTGTGTATGGGTTCAGTGCCTGAGATCTTTCTCTTGTCCTTGGATCTAGTTGAGTTTTGAGTTATCTACTGATAAAAAAGAGGGCTGGTATAGAAGCATAAGCAAATCTGTCTACTTTATGCTTTGCAGGTGCACAGGCTGACATTCAGAAAATGTACTGTAAAGTGTCAAAGTTGTTGTTTTTGCTTTTCTCTATAGAGGCTGACCTCAGAATGAGGCAACTGACAGAATGAAATAAGTGTTTCCATCATCATGGCTCTAGGATACATCTGGCTGGTTTGTTCCTAATTTAATTTTAATTGCACAGTTTGTGTCCTTATGAAAGGAACAAGATAAGGGAAAGATCTATGTGAAAATGAAGAATTAATTGAAAATCTTTCAGGAGACTCCAGGACAAAGCCTCTTAATTACTGGGACACAATGGATAACGTTTTTCATACTTGAGGCTTTTGTGGATCCTGTTCTTGACTGCTTCATTGACCTTAGAGATGAGCCCGTTTCTTGAGCAAGGATGCGCTGCCCTAATTGCCTCTCACCAGCTGCAGGAGTCCATTCACTGCGGGGGCTGGAGCTCATCTGGACACAGCCAGCCTGTATTTAGGATGGACTTGGCACTGCAAGGGAGAGCTCAGAGAAGGCTGCAAAGCTTGATAGAAAGACTGGTAAACATAACTGATGGGAGGGTAGCACAGAGGTAACGTCACATGTATCAAGCTTGCTGGGCTATGCCCAAGCACGTGCAGAAGGAAGTGGTGGCAGCATGAAGCAGTTACTGAGCTGGCCGATGTAGACCCTTGGTGTAGGACATGTGCAGAATTCCTTACTGAGGGAAAGATTAAATGCCATGCATTTGGCCTTAATGGAGTCAGCTGGAGTGGTTCCTCACAGCATTGGTTGTCTTTCAGTTGGTGGGTGAGTGTGTGTGGGGTTGAAATTTCCCTTTGGAGCATCCTCCCATGCAAGGACGGAGAGGACCTTCCCTCAAACAGAGTCCTGACAGATGTCGGTGGGATCTCACATAAGACCATTTGATGCTGTGATGGTTCGATGTCCCTTTCTGTAGTGTGAATTTCAGGACCAAGAGGCAGTGATGGTGTTCTTACGTCCAGTGTTTATAGCATTGCTGAGCCCTTTGCTTCAAAAGTTTGTGGGTGAAATGAACTTCACAGAAACACATGACAGTGCTGGGCCAACCCTTGTGTAAAGAGCTGTATCAAACCTTGTGCTTCAGTGCTGTGACTCAAAAAAGAAAAGGGCCCTCTTTGTTCTCTACTGTAATCTTTTTATAATGGTATGAGCTGAGGCCGGGAAAGAAATTGTAGTTTCCTGACTGCTTGATACAAAAATATTCCAGTTGTGCCTTGCCTTGAATACTTGTTGTGATGTTAAGCCTGTCCTCCTGATATGTGAAATCAGCTTAAACATCATGAGGTTTGAAGAAAGTTTGTTGGCTTTTTTTTCCATTTTTCCCTTCTATCTTATCATCCTTGAGAATACTTTCAGTTCATGTTCTCAAGCTGTTCTGCACAGCCACTGTTCTAGCCTCTGGGGCTAACAGCACACTTAAAATAAATAAAGGGAGATGCAGTTCTTACATAAACCACTCATCTCCTGGAGCCGAGTCTTTAAGGAGAGCATCAACACCTGTAACACTTGACAAAGGCAGGAATGTTAGCAGCACTGCCCTGATGTCGACCTTGCTTTGTCAGTGCAGCTCTGGGCCCAGCCAGGCACTGGGAACTGATCATGTGCGGCGTGTGGGACTGTCATATGCTAGCTGAGGCTTAGCTTCATGTTTAGAAACAAGTAATGTGGGGGAGTGTGACAGTACCAGCCTGGTGTGCACAGTAGCCTGGCTTCCTCCAACAATGCAGTAAGCTGTGGAAAGCCCAGAAATGTCCTTCTTCAAAGAAATACAATTGTTGTTGGTGTTTGTAACCCTGATGCTAAGTACCCACTAGCTCAGTTGTCCTTGGCAGGACGGAGATTGAAAATGAGTCCAGGGTTATCATGTCACCTAGCTGAGGTAGGTAGCTCAGCCAGGGTGTTAGGTTCCTTGACAGCCAGAGGCAGGAGGGAGAGAAGCTCTTGAAAGGGAACTTTCTCAGTGCCCAAATGAAGCCATTCTTCTAAACTGCTTTTTCTCTCAATTGCTTCTAGAGGCTTGTAGGAAAAGTGGCTGGACATGGGACAGTATGACTGTTGTCACTGGTGCCTGCCCTAGAGAGTAGATAGCTGGGTTTGTAACAAGGCTGAATTAAATGGAAGATAAGAGTAGCTGAGGGAGCAGTTCTGAAGGACAACTGCCTGCTCAGATCTATTTCTTTGAATTCTTCTAAATCATTTGAAACTAGTTCTGGTTCTCCCAGTGACCCCTCAGCCTCGCAGCACGTCCAGCTGGAGTGGTGGTTGACTTAGCTGAAGGGAAGGGAGATGGGAGCTATGAACTTAGCCATGTGCACACACAAAGATGGATAACCAGGAATGGACTGCATTTGTCACTCGGCTGTGGTTCCCCAAAAGCACTGTCTGCACTGCTCAGTGGTGGTCCAGAGTCATTTCCATAGGCTCCGTACCAATGGAGTATGTCTGGGGGAAGAAGGAGGAAGAGTAACTGGGTGACTCCGCAAAATGTTTCTAAAATATCTTCATTGTGTTAAACAGCTAGACATGCTTCCCACTGCTAATTTCCATGCAAGTAATTGCTCTGATTGACCCTGGCTTGTTCAGTTGCTG